CGGCTACCTTGTTCGGTGCCAGCAGCCATTCATCAAGAAGAGGGAGGTGAAAACAGACCAAGATGAGACGTTACAACAGAGTCGCCTAAATAGAAGAAGAGGGGACGTAACGTGACTGACTGGACTGTCGAGTCCCGAGCAGATGTGTTAGAGCGATCGAAGGCCAACGGTCATCGCCGAATATTCAGCCCAAGATCAATCATCCATCATCTACTCACAGCTGCTTCAGACCCCGTAAATACACCCCAATAGCAATATCAATCACCGTCTATCATGTCCAACAGTAGCTACATTAATGCACTAGTACACTCTCTCTACGATGAGAGCCAGGAGCACAACGATAGCACGTTAAGCCAAATAGGTTGAAACTCCATTATATCGCTGACCTCTTCATCTGTAGGTTGGGTCTGATGAACCGTTAAATGGAGTAGCGAGGTACGAGAGATTCGGGACGAAAACGAGTACGATGACAAACATGCGGATTTTACAAGATGTGTGCGAATCTCTGGGTTAAACTATCTAAACGTACGAATGACGGACACTCTCTGGTCCAATTAACGACGGTACATCAGCACAGGAACGCACCACAACGTGCAACGCACGCAATTTAAATGTCCGTTAATAGTTAAAAATGGTTTTATTGGAAAACGTTAAGTGTCCGTTTCCATTTTAGCGCGGGCGCACTGTGGAAATCGGGCATGCCCCGTGCGTCAATTTGACGCAAAAACGGGCACGCCCCGCGTCAAATTAACGCAAATCTGCGTCAAATTGACGCAAATCTGCGTCAAATTGACGCAAATGTTTGCGTCAAATTGACGCAATTGACGCAAGTTGCGTCAATCCCGCGTCAAACTCAAGAAATTGCGTCAATCCCGCGTCAAACAGATGCAGTTGCGTCAATCCCGCGTCAAACTCAAGGGAGGCCAGAAACACAATGTTATAAGAGCACAGTTCAGGTTCTGACATCAGCTACTTCATTATGCTATGGGCTACAGTTCTGGATTCGTTTATCAGGAGTACTTGGCTTCATATCCCAAAATTTCACAGTTCCAAGCTCTAAACCAATTTGGATTGTTGATTCCAGGACAGCACCTAGTACCGCAAGTGTATGCTTATCATAGTTATGGATCCAAATACCTTGCAATGATTGGAACTTTTTCATCTTGCAAAAGACACATACTACCTCGTTTTTTGGTGTTCAACAAGAATGCTGGATGCAATAAGTCCCTAAACAATTGAGACAAGGAGAGCAGAAAGATCCTGAAAGGAATAGGAGACATTGCCAGATCCCTGGCCAAGTATGCCTATGGAAGAAAGGTCAGTTCCAATATTGCCAAATACATTCTCAAATATGTTTTCTACAAGATTTTTGAGCAGTACTATATCTGGGGGATTCCGTTGATGAGCAAGACAGGGATATCTGTTGGTGAATTTCATCAAGGGCTTCAAACTCCTCATTGATAAGGTTGTTGCTTCTTGCTTGGAAAATAGCATCATTGCCATTATGTGTCCCAGCTTTGTCAATTTCCATCAGATCCATTGTTCAAAAAATGGGCAACTCTCATTGGAATGAGAGTGGGAACTCAAACTCTCATTCATTCACACACTCCAATCTTTTTGGAACTGATACCAGTACGCGGGTTTTGTCCCGCGTCGAAGACACGCAGGCCCGCGTTAAATTGACGCAACCCGCGTCAGTTGACGCGGAATCGGCGTTAAACTGACGCAACTCTGCGTCAAACTGACGCAACTCCGCGTCAAACTAACGCAACTCCGCGTCAAACCAACGCAACTCCGCGTCAAACTAACGCAACTCGCGTCATTCCCGCGTCAAAAGAAACGTCCCGCGTCAGAGTCGCAGAGCATTTTAACGGACACATAAAAATTATTTAGAGCTAAAAACAATCTAAACGGACAGATTTCGGGCGTCAACGTTGTGGTGCGTCCCAGAAAATGATAGCTTGTGATGAGTCAATTATTTCATTCATGCATTCAAGGAATTCGCGAATAGAGAAAAATTGGATAGATCATCTGCAACAGCATGCTTGGGCGAGCTGCAGTCTCTCGCGCCGTGACCGGAGCCCTGAAGAACAGGCGCACATTCACCAGTAAAAGAAATCCAAGCGAGATGACGACAGCGGAAAGGCAAGAAGCCATTCGTGAGGCAAACAAAACAATGAAAGGATATGTTGAAACACGGATTCTTGCAAAGCAGGGCAAACTTAGGAAGCGAAAGGCTTCTGAAGAGACCCAAAGCGCTTCAAAAATCCAGCTTTCAATGTTGATTAGTCTCGCTGCAGCTTTCATTGCCAGGTACGATATGCTGAATAATTGAAAACCAAAAAAATTTCAAAATCGGAGCATTTCTATGGGTCTTTGTGGCGTGATTTGTTTTCTTTTTCTCCTATAGAAACAACTAATCACTTTCTTCGTGTTCTTCTGTGCGTTGGAAAAAGTCCAATACTTGGGAAGAAAATCGCAACGGATCAAGAGTTTCGGGACAAATATATTCCCGATTGGTATGACTTTCGGATCCGTGCTCCCTCTTCAGCTTGGACGAGACAAGAGCTACACGAACAACTTGTTGAGGTCGAGAGAGACATGAGGGAGCGTGCAATCAGAGGGGAGTTCACCCCAGAAAAACTGGTAGGTTTCTTCAAAATCTCTTTTGCCTGTATAATACTGCCAACTCTCACCAGTGAACACAGCAAGATATGAAAAGGCAAATGCATCCCAGAAGTGATTTGACAGAGGAAGATTTGTACTACGCCAAAAAGTATGGGTGGGGGAAAGTCCACCCCGGAGTCGATGATGATGATGAGGATGACGAAGACGATTAATTCGATGGAAAGAGAATACGTCGCTCTCTCGGCCTTCGTCAGTTTCAGTGAGTGATTTGTCATTTAATTGTTTCCCTAGTCGTCTTCAAGATCGTCGAGATTAGTGTCATCCATAAATAGTTCCTCAACCTTCGAAGCAACATCTTTCAATTTAGGGTCAGATTCATCGAGCTGTCCTTCATCGTTTTGTGCATCGTCGCTTTGCACGAGCGTAAACAGATCCCTCTTGTACTCGTATAAATCCCGCCCAGATAGCACTGCCAATCCTTTGCCTCCTTTCTTTTTCCGCAACTCAGTCTCCACTAGCTTCTTGGCAGCCTCAGCTCTTCGTTTCCGCTTTTTCTCTTGCCATGCAGCAAACGATTCTGGGGTAACCTTCGTGCCTTTTCCGCTCTTCTTCAGTTCTTCGACCTTCCTCTGGCGCTCAGCTTCAATCTTATCTTCTAGTGTTGGGACGTAATTTGGCTTTGAACGAAGTGAGTAAAGACAATCTTCATGAAGATTGTCGGGATTAAATAAATTCACTTACGTCTTCTTTGAGCCTTTCTTCCATCTCTTTTGCGTCCACTGTTGCCGAAATAGAAAAGCAATTAGATTCGTTTTGCGCTGTTCTTGCAACTTCCGATGACTCCACTTACTTTGATACATCATCTAAATTGTTTTTGAAATTACGGAAGCTGTTGAGGTAACTCTTGTGTGCATTTTCGCCGCGAATCAACATTGCACTGATCTGACTTACCTTCATTGCTCTTGACGTCGTTTTTTTATTTGCGTCATCGTCAGCATCTCTTCCCTTCGCCTCCGCCTTGCCACCTTTTTGGTCTGTTGTTTTCTTTTTGCCAATAGCTAACAATGCTTCACCAAATAATGCATCTAGGAGATAGCACGAATACAGCAAGTCAGATGCCATAACCCTAAAAATAATTTCCATTCGTTCCTGCCATTCTTGTACCTACCTTGTTCGTCCTTGGCAGCTTTCCGCCTTGCTTTCTGCTCGGCCTTGACCTTCTTCCTCTGTTGTCAAAACAATTGGAACCATCATCTCAGATTTTTATCAAATCAAACAAATGGGCACAAAAAGCTAATCTTACCTGCTCCTCCAGCGCCATCTGTCGCTTGTCGCCCGACTTCATGACGTTCTTTTTTATACCTAACAGTACAGTGTTGAGAAAACACGGGATGAGGATCTTCATGAAAAATTCCATTGGAAAAGATCTGATTGCCACTGATAAAAGCAAGTACCCACCTTCCACCTTCATTTGAACCTTCTTTGACTTGTTCTAAATTGCGAAAAGTCGTAGGATGGGAACCAGAGAATCAGCGGCACCATTGTCAATGTAATTTGTGAGTAAACAGGATCCAGTTGCAAACCATGGTTCAAGATGATTGCATGGCCAATGGACGCGAGCAGCACAAGCCAAGAAAAAGAAACGGCGACCTTCGAGATATCAACATAGAATCGCGACACTTGTACGAGTGGTGATTCAGAGCCTTCGACCTCTGAATATGACGATAGAGACGAAGCGACCGTTCCGAGTTGGTGAAAGCAACCAGCGATAGAAGGACACAAGGGGAGTAAAGGGGAAAGAACTGAGAAAGGAAATGGTCACTCTACAAGAGTTGTATTGACACGACGGCAATAAAAATAGGGAGTTGATGGCAATAACATCCAGACAGGCAAGGAAGCGGCAGACAACGGAAACATCGACTTGAAGGAAACAACAACAGAGAAATGATTGTAGCGGCATAAATAGGAGCAGCAGTCGACGCGCGAGGGGGCAGCGACGACGAAAATACTGATGCAACCCTCTCAATCACGCACTCACTTTATTTTTCAGGCCTAGGGGACAATTGAAATGAATCAGAACTAGGGGTAAACAAATGATGAGGTTGTTCTCTCGTCTCTTCCGACTCACCGAATGTTCGATCTTCTATAGCTTGTTGCTTGCGCTTCTGGTCGGCTTTCTTCGACCCCTCTGGAGCGTTCTTCTTTTTCGCCATGGTGTATTTTTAGTGTTGCAACAACAATAGTAATAGAAATTGTGAATCAAACACACTCATGATTCATGCTGCACTGGCATCGGCACCGGTACGACCAGTCGAAAGTCGTCTGTTTGTCCATCAGATGATAGCCGTTACTGAACGTCTGCACCCCAACGGCTAACGTATCCAAAATATTTTATACAGGTATCAAGATTCCCAATACTCCCTCGCTAAGCTTCGTCACATTCTCAATGTTGTTAAGACTAAGCATCGCTACTGCATGCGTTGAGATGGTCGGAGTCTCATCCTGTTTACATCCTTCACAATACAAAATCACTATAACTTTCAGAATACTGTTTTATCAAACATTTCGGACATTTTACAACTAATTCAGTACTTGAAGCACGACAAGCCTGGACAACCTTGTGCCTGCATTCTCAAGTAATCAAGGCTGTACACGCTACAGCTTTGAGTGGTTATTTACGCCCAATTTATACGTAATAAGTTACGCTGCCAGCCTCTGTGGAGACGTCCATTAGAGCTACCAACGAAAGCTCTCCGAGCCTACAACAAAGAAGTACTTTGCTAGCTTCCCAAGCTACCACCAGCTCTCCGAGCATCGATCGAGCTTTCCAAGCACCTACCTACCGGCCCACAAGCTTTCCAAGCTCACATTTGCAAAGATAGAAACTCCGTCTTGCCCAACTGGTCCTACAGGAGACGGCTCTCCAGCATCTCTTGTTGACGTCGCCGCAGAACTCAACGACGACTCAGTTGGCTCCGACTGGGACAACAACACCGCTAGTTCCACAAGCACATCGCCTCCCATGTCGGGCACCACTTCAACCTTCCAGCTCCAACCGGCCATCATGGGTTACACCATGGAAATCAACAGCTCTGGCGACAAGTGGCAGTCGTTGGAACTGGCAAACCATTGAAGGACTGGAGCGCATTGGACACCAGTACACCACTAGCATTTTCTCCAAACCAGCAACGTCCCATCTATGGAGATGGGGAGTACCGTCATCTACGTACCCAAGGTCTGCCTGTCAAGTTTGTCAGAAAAGGCAATCTCAAGGAGTTCAAGCGTCAGATACAAGAATTCATTGAAGCAAATGGGTTCTTTGCCATCACTCACATACCTGATCCAGTCTCTGGTGAAATGCTCTGCATTGTAAACGGACATCCAAGATTCACAGTCCAGTCTGTTGCAAAGCAAGTTGAACAAAAGGTCAAATGTTACGACAAGTACGACAAAGCAAACGACGCTGAAGCCAAGATCTTCCTAGGCAATAGCCTCGACCCAGAACTCGCTGCCAAACTCTACCTGAAAGTCAAGACTACCGATCCGTTTCCCATTATGTTTCAAAAGTTCATTCCAATGCTCCACACCACGTCCATCCACTACTTCGAAGGACTCAAGACAAACATCCGCAAGCGCAAGTCCTCCCAATACTCTGGAGAGGACATTGCACAGATGGCAGAGGATGTTGGGATATGACGAAATATGAGTTTTTACGTTCCAAAAGAAACTATTCAAGTACGATGTTTTTGACACGTGCAATCGGACTTTGATCGTGATGTCGGGATTTGACGCAAGTATGCCGGACGCAAGTCTGTCGGACAATCTGTATCCACACAAACAGGAAAAGATCCTGTACAAGTGGAATATTGATGTTGTGTACGATGCAGTAGGGAATAATGCA